CAAATACAGCCAATGCAGACTAGGTGGGCAACCGTTGCCACCCTGACTCCGCCCTAAAATGAACAGGGAGTAAAGCAATGACCAGCATGACATTAATCAACTCCCCTGAATTACATCCTGTGTGAATAGCCAACCAAATGCCAGCATACTCAGGACTCATATACACTGTGGGGAGATGTACAAAACCTATATGCAACGGTGAAGCTTATGTGCTTTTGAATCATAAGGATATTAAGCCTATTCACCGCGTGATCATTATATTATAGCGCACTTTCAACATAGGTACCAGCTAAAAGCCTAGGCATGTGTTACGCCGACGTTTCTGCTTCTGCATGACACAGCGACAGAAGGTTCAGCTGTTCAATAGGTCCCCAAGTGCTCATTGTGCAGTTTCTGATACTTGACCCTCGGGCGAGGCGTAGCTTTTAGTTTGCTATGACTGGCTGACGTCGAAGAGGAAGTCAAACAGGGCTATTTCAGTCTCACTTGTCGTTGTGAGTTGCGCTCGAGCCCCGACAGCAGCCGCTCAACGGCTGGCAAATTTTATACAGAAATATATTAATGACAGGGAAAATGGGGACTTGAATGACCCTTTTCTGTCTTATAAGCCATCTTCAGCCTGTCATACCGAAACCTGATATGACGGCCCCCGGGTATAACTAAGTGATGCCGAAGTATAGGCCAGAATTCGTCATGCCAGTCTAGACTGTCTTTTCCGATGGTGTATTTCTGCCTTCAATACGGTAGCCGTTGAGCGGTGGCTGGTAAGCTTGATAGCGACCCCACAACACAGCGGAAAGAATGAGTTCCGCGCCCGATTAAGAAGCACCTATCTATCATTGATAATATTCTTTATCGAGGCAGTTAAGGACATGAGCCCGTATAACCGTGGTTGGAGCGTTGGACTTATAGGTTGTATGCTCGAGTGTCGGAGGTCACAACAGCCAGGGTTATGTATGGCTGTCTGATGATGCCTAATAAGCAATAACTGACTATTTGAGTTTCCGTAGTGGTTGTGGGTAATGCATTTTGCGTATATATATATATTTATACGCGAAAGGACATATCCGACAAAGACAAGGGAAACTCGAAAAGCCATTTCTGGCTAATTAGCTGTCGTCAGCCAGTCATACCTAAACCCAAGTGGTGTCCCAGAAATTGCTGCCCCAAGAGAGCTTCGAACCCGCGACCTTGTTAGTTAGAAGTCCAAAGCTGCGTAGGCAAAAACGTAATTTTCCTCAAACAGGATGCTCACAGTGCGCAGTCTGTAAAACTTGAACTCTGGTGTAGCAATCGGTAGGTCTCAACATTATTCGGCAATTGAGAAACCCTTTTAAAACCGAAGGATACCCTTTTTAAGTATGTAATTTAAAGAAGGCGTAATTTTCTACCAAACGAGTACAAGAAAGATTTTTTCGTGCATTTCCTTCATAAAATGTACTTGGATTTATAAAGGCAGTCATAATTAATGAAACAAATGCATACTACTTAAGTAACCATTTTTTAACAGAACATACTTTTTGTTAACTGTCAGGAAGAAGCTCGTTAAAAAGCCGGCATCCTGTCGTGACTGAAATGACTTGAGAATAGGCTGGAAGATAATCAGTATTACAACTTTACTCAATGATGTTAAGCGAGTGAATATCAATCTTTCGTGAATGACGGCATGTTGGACGAATTGGGAGCCGTACTGTTTAGGCGAATGATGGAAAGGTGCTCAGCAATCCAGTTCGGAGTATGCTCGTACCGTTGCATCTTAGAGCTCAAGCTAGAGGATAAATAGGCAGTTTCTGTTGTTTTGGGACTGCAATGAAAGAAGACGACCTACTAGAATGCCTTCACGACCTATTTTTTCCCTCATTTTCAATATCTTAAAGCATAAATGTACAACTGTTAATGTTGGAGCTTGCAGCACTTAACCTTTAGACACAATATGTATGGCACTTAACGACTGCGTTGAAAGTTCTCATTTGTTTTATTCAAAATTTACTCTCCTTACTGAGTTTTAATTGTCTCCTTTAAAGGCGAGGCTTCTAAACACACTTTGGGACGACCAAGAACAAGCCGATGTGCGAATTCAGGCTTATCTGTCCTGGTCAAGGTGTCTTACAGAAGAGAAACTTCGAGGGCTGTTAGCCAAATTTCCTCGAGACCCTTCCCCCCAAGTAAGTTAAAATGCTTATCCATATGCGTGCGTTATCATATTCAACACTGTTAGTGAGTATAATGTGCATGCCGTGTCCTCTTTTTATGAATTTCGCAAGGAAATACTTTCTTAGAGAAAAAAACCGCACTTAATAGAATAAAATTTCGACGCTGGTTCCTAAGGTCGTCGTTAGACGTGGGTAAATATGCAAAGAAAAATTTAAATTGCTTGAGTGCAGAAAAAGCAATATGCATTTGGTGCGAGCGCTTTTTAGCGGCTGCAGTTTGCGTCAATCTGTATCGATCGGTTCTCGTTTGTTCCAATTTTCTTTGGGCGTTTTGTACATGACGTCTAAATCCATACGCCGGTTGATTCATAAGTCATTGGAGTGCATGGCCTGAAGGAAATTCGACCTTTTTTGGAGGGACGAATTTAGACGCTAATCAGCGCCTGCACCAAATAAATATTAATGTTTTAGCAATGTTGAAATTGTTTTTGATCTTTGCACATTTTTTGACGTACGAGTAAGACCCAGGAAACCGGCGTCAAAGATTTACGCAATAAAGTTACTTTCGTTTCCCAAGGAATGTATTTGCCTTCAAAATATATCCCTTGGGGTGCCTGCCTTCTAATTTATATGAATATATCTATGTGAACAAAGATTCAAGGTCCAGATATAATACTGCCTTCATCATCCCCGGAAGAGAAAGAAGAAGAAAGGACAAATCCCTGTACTAAGTTGTATTTAAGTTGACATTTTGAGGACATTCTCGTTATCGTTGTCAGGGCGTGGTGCTTGCTCTTCCATTGGCCTCAAATGAATGATTCTCGCCGCCAGGCACCATACTCTGACGATGAGATTGTTTTCGAAACGTCAGTTTTTATATAACTTGGTCCCAGGAATTGCTTTCTCTTCTTCCTCTTCCGCAGATGATGAAATCAAAAAAGTATATGCATTGATTATTCGCTTGTGCGCCGATCTGTTCCTTCGGATGTGCCCATCCTGGGATAATGCTTTTGCGAGTCGGATCAACCGATTGTG